TCATATTTATCTCTTTTTTTTAAAAGTAATTCTTGTAATAGTTGTACATGTTAAATATTTCATAAAGGGTAGTGTTAGCTGATACACATAATTAGCAAGAATATTTTAATAAAGACAATATCTATTTATTACAAATAAATACGTAACAATTTTTTTAATTTAATTCAAATTAATCAAGTAACTTTTATATTTGTATTAAAAATGGGAGGCAAGTACTAGAGTACTAGGTCCATGGTAACGAGATTTGAGAAATTAGCATTGCTGTTCATGATTCATGAACAGTTATTCCGTCTTTTCTTTGGACGCAAAATGAAGGGTGACAGTGCAATGTTTTGACTTCATTCTTGTAATATCCCCCGCTCCTAAACACACACTGGGATTATGAAACAAAATGATCAAGGGCCGATTCTCATTCTCAATAGGATGGTATGTTTTTAAGGAAAGTGACAATGATCAAAATCCCGACATATTTAAAGCCCCATGATCTTGCCTATTCTGCTTAGTTCATCTGTTTCTCATCGCTTTGATTTTTTCTAGTACCTTTAATTAAAGGTTTATGCTGTTCACGAAAGAGATGAATTAGATGGCTCTGAGAACTTTTATTTGGGTTCAGATTAAAACTTTGAAGTTCATTTGCACAGGTCGACGTTTTGAAATTTACAACAGAAGAAATTTTATAATTTTACGTAGCAGAATGCACGAAATTCGATTCCTCCCCATTATTCGCCCTCTTTATTAAAAAAAATACTGGCCTTTTTATATTGCTAGATTCCCGTGTTCCATGATAGGTGAGTGACATATATATATATATTATATATATATATATAGGATATGGATGGTTGGCATCTCCTCGGCAGAGACAGGAAGGTTCAGTTTTTTTTTTTTTTTGTTGGTACAACGTTCAATATTCTTTGTTGGTATAAAAATAGAAAGTAATCAAGACACATGAGGCTAGCTTGACAAAATCAAAGTATCACTGGGCATTGGCGTAAGAAAACAAGCAGAAAAGCTGTCTTTGTTTTTTTTTGGGTACACGAAAGGCCATATTTTTTTGCATGCTAAGTTACATACTACAGGGATTCAGGTGGGTTAATAATCTGGTTGGCCCAAATTTCAGGTGAGTTGGGCCAAGATAGAGTGTTAAAATTGCAACAACAAAAAAGGGTCAAAAGTTAAAAGTCCCCACTTCACATTAGGCCATATTCCCATATAGAGTCATGTGAATTAGTCAATCTATTTGGTAATTTGGCAACTCGTAATCATTACAGTTTTGGTATAGGATGCAGAATATTTGGGGTCGTAGTTTGACCTCCCCAGGCTCCCCAGCCATTTTTCCTCGTCTTTCTTCATTGTATTCCAATGATTTCACACTTCCTTTTTTTTTTTTTGGGTGAGACAGACTTCTATTATTTTATTCATGCACTGATGCAGGTTATTATTTGACTTTTGACCACGCCATTACCGTCTGCACATGTTAAACCAAGAAAATTAATTCGATTAGCTCTTAATCTTGAAACATTCTCGCCACAGGATTTAATTTTAGAATCAACTTGGAAATATTCTAGTGCCAATATCTTCCTAATTACCTACAAACTTCTAAATAATGCTCTGCCGAGCGTCTTCATGCGTAGGTTTTCCTGCTACTGGTACGCGTATTTTATTATTCTCTTTGTTTTTATTTTTTTGGGCTAGTAAGCCATAATTTTGGACGTTAGAGAGAAGGGAGGGGGATTGCATTGTTAATTGACCATCATTAATAGCATAACAGTCACTAGCTTCTTCGATATTTATTAATCACTTTTTTTTATCTGTCAAAATAATTTGGGTTAAGGTGTATTAAACACTTTGAAATATTTTTCTAAATGTATTTAATACCTCAAAATATTCCAGCACAGTGAAGTAATTGTTTAAGTGCACATAGCACTTTGAAGTGTTTGTTGGTACGTCCAATATCTTAAAATATTTTTTTTAGGTATGTCAACATCAAAAATATTTTCTATGCATCCAGTACCAAGGTAAAAATATATATATTAAGGTATTGGATGCACCTGAAAAATATTTTAGAATTTTAAATGTATCACAAAATACTTCAAAGTGCTGAATGTACATGAGAAAATATCCTGAGGTACTGGATGTATCTTAACCTAAATAATTTTCTATATACTACCTCCGATCTTTAATATAAGAACTAGATGGAAGTAGATCTGGTTATAAATATAAGACTTTTGTTCACTTTGTCTTTCACTTTTTTTCAAAATATCTTTATTGACTATAAAGATTTTCTAGAAGGGATAATTTTAATAATTTAGTACCCATGATTAAAGAGGATATTTTAAGGAGACTAACGCATATTTGTGACAAATAACCAAATTAACTTATTTTTTTAATATCCCAATTAGTTATTTAGTTGTAATATAAAACTTAATGCATAACGGAGGCAGTATATTCAATTTGATGTAAATAAGAATAACATGTTTTCTACTTTAACTTCAATTCAACCCACGCTCACATAGCCAAACCATTCAGAATAAGGACAACAGTAGTATTGTGTAATCCTATTTCCGGTCCTTATATAATACTCCTCCGATCCTTAATATAAACCCATTTAACTAATTTGATTAAATTAAGGAAGTTAGGTAGTTAGTTAATTATAAGAAATGTGACCACGTTTTTCCTAAAACACTATAATCATCTTTCTTAATACCTTCTTTCCCCCTTCTACTTGATTATGGTTGATAGAGTATCATAGGGGTAATTTAGAGAACATTGATAATATGAGAAATGGGTCTTATATTTAGAATCAAAACCAACTCAATAATTGGGTCATACATTAAGGACCGGAGGAGTAGATAAAGAAGGTGCTGTTTCAATTTATATTAAAGTAAATTTAATTTTTTTCCAGCCTACCAAACACCCCAAGTGTGCTTAAACTTTCAGAACCCTGTGTGTATGAGAAAGAATTATGATGATTCGCACCTGCCAGCCTTCCGCTCTTCAACGGCTCAACCAATGCTGGGGTATTGATAATTTGTGCTGAATAGGTCGATAGGTGTGTGGAAAAGGCGGCTAAAACAACAAGGTATATATAATAAATGGAAAGAAAAAAACAATCATAGTGAGCCAGAGTAATTTAAGACATAATAATGTATCGATAAACAGAAAAATATCGGTAGCTTTGGGGCTGAAGGTTGGGCGTGGGTATTTGAGAACCATGTAAACGAAGTACACTTTAAGAAATAAAACTCGTATCAAGTACTCCTCCGGTCCTTAATATAAGACCCATTTAACTAATTTGATTAAATTAAGGAAGTTAGGTAAGTTAGTTAACTATAAGAAATGTGACACGTTTTTCCTAAAACACCATAATCATCTTTCTTAATACCTTCTTTTCCCCTTCTACTTGATTATGGTTGATAGAGTATTCATAGGGGTAATTTAGAGAACATTGATAAATATGAGAAATGAGTCTTATATTTAGGACCAAAACCAACTCAACAATTGGGTCCTACATTAAGGACCGGAGGAGTACTTTGTTTGATTTTTATCTTGGTCATAAATAGAAGACCCCAATCTACTTTGTCTCTTATATTTATGTATTTTTTTCAATGTAGTCTTTCTAACAATAGTAGTTCTAGCCAATCCACTTGATTAACAAGGATATTTTAGGAAAGACAACACTTATTTGTTACAAATAACTAACTTAATTTTTTTCTTCTTAATTTTCTCAAATTAGTCAACTAACTCCTATAATTAAGACTATTAAGACTGGAAGTGGTATGACGGCAACAAAACTGAAAGCTGAGGGTGAAAACGGAATCTGGGTAATTTTCATAGTTTGACTAGAGTGATTTGTTCGTTTTTCATTATCCGACCGGAGAAACCTGCCCGTTGAAAGCGAAGTTACAGTACCGTTGATTAGTCCACGGTGGCAAGATGAGGTTAACCCCTTCTTTCGGTGGCCCTCAGCATGGAATTCAAAGTCAATGCATTTTTGTCTATAACTGATACATTTCATTTTGACAAGCACACATATTGACAATCACGAGTGACTTGCGCTTTGCGGGGATGTATATGCTTCCTCTTCACTCAATGGAACCTGTCTATTGCTCGAGATTTAATTATCAATCGCATTTTAACAAATATTTTATTCCGAGTCAAATAATTTTTTGACTGAAACGGTCGCTCTGTTGCAATTAAAATGAACCTTTGCCTCTGCGAACCAGACAAAGCTCACGAGCTCACTCCTCATTCCGCAATCTGCGGTTTCTTTATTTTCCCCTCCCAACTCACTCCCCACTCACGTTCCTACAATCAAGAAATTAGAACCGAAAAGGAATTGCAGCATGTGTAGATCCTCCAGGATCAATGGTAGGCCGGTAGCTATATGGCTTACTATCATTCCAATCAACTTTATGAATCCTCTTCGTATTTGTCTCATTACTCTAATGGCCTCACCCACATGCCCCTTCTCGTTCTTGCGGCATAAAATAATGATGTCTAAGCTTTAGCTTCTCACCAAATCGCTATCCAATGGGGTTTCTCTTCGCATTTGATGGATGTGACTCTGCTATTTCAGCAAGCATATGCCAAACTCGTCTTCTATCACCACCAAACGGTCTGGATCAGTATACTCCATGATTGCAATCCTCTCCAAATCAGATGGACCCCTATCTTTTTGATATGATCCATCTGGAGTGGCCCCCTACTGAATGCTGCTCTCTCTTTGACTTGTTCTTCTCAATTCATGCTGTGCTTACCAGGGGCATTGCCTTCTATCCATGGATCCTTAACTAGTTTGTCTGTTTGGAATCCATGAGTAAGTAATCCTTTTTCATCCTGATGAAATTAAGTTTATTGTGCTTCTCTGCTTGATTCCCCTGAAAGTTTCAGAATCATCATATAATAATCCAGAAATTGCAATAGAAAAGAAAAAAGGACGTTTGTCCCTTTTCTTGTTACATGTCACTTAAACGAAGGGAGGAGGAAGAATAAATCAAAGGTTCTGCTTCTATGTTTTTTCTTTTGTACGTTTCTCATTTATTTCCCCAAAACGATCTAATTTTCTTCCTGTCACTGGAATATTGGCTGCTGGATGAAGTTCTAGTTTCAAAGTTTGGTTTGTTTCTTTTTCTGTTGTGGTCACTTGGCAACCAAACAGAGTTGGTGAACAGAAAAAAAAAAAGGAAGTTAGTGTAAAGTTGATGTCAATTTCAAACGTGAGTTGCTTATTTTGACCCAAAACATAAGAGCGTATAATTTTATGTCGCAATCTCAGACAATAAGACCAAGGTATCAAGTAACAAACATACTGTACGCTCAAAGAAGCCTCACGAGTCATGTTCAATTATCTCTGATTCAACTCTACATTTTCATCGAATACTATCGCTTAATCTTCAGACCTTCTGCTTTTTCACCAGCTTATTACTGTAGAATCAATCAATACCTCCGGGAGATTATGGGAAACAGACTGGAATTGTTGTTCGTGTTCTCAACAGCCTTCACGGTTGGAGCAATGTTCCTTCGTGTTGGAGCCGAGCCAGTGGAAGATAAACAAGCCTTGCTTGACTTCCTGCACAATATAAACCACTCTCATGCTCTAAACTGGGAAGAGAAATCTTCAGCATGCCATAGCTGGAAGGGAGTCACCTGCGATAGAGAACATTCCAGAGTCATAGCCCTTCATTTACCTGCAGTTGGATTGAGCGGTCCAATACCACCGAAGACCCTAAGTCGCCTCTCAGCACTTCAGACTCTGAATCTAAAATCCAATAGCATAACGGGTCCTTTTCCTTCTGGTTTCTCTGAGCTTAAGAATTTAACCTATCTTGACATTCAATTCAACGAGTTTTCTGGCCTATTACCGCCAGATTTCTCAGTTTGGAAGTATTTGACTGTTGCTGATTTTTCCAACAACTTTTTTAATGGGAGCATTCCTTCATCAATTTCGAATCTGATTCATCTCACATCTTTAGTCCTGGCAAACAACTCGCTTTCGGGTGAAATTCCTAATATCAATATTCCTACCCTGCAAGAACTGAATCTGGCCAACAATAAGCTTAGTGGGACGGTGCCCAACTCCCTTCAGAGATTCCCAAGTTGGGCGTTCTCAGGGAACAATCTTTCATCGGCAAATGCTCAACCAAGAAAGAAAACGTCAAAAAAACTTGGTAAGTCGGCTTTAATAGGTATAATTCTGGGTTGCAGTGGGCTGGCGTTTGGAGTTATTGCAGCTTGCTTGCTTTTGTGCTACTATGATAAAAGAGGTGAAAATGGGCTAGCAATGAAATCTCAGAAAAAAGTCACGTTTCTCAAAAAGGATATCTCCGAGAGTCATTGCAGAAAAAACAAGATTGAGTTCTTTGAGGATTGCAATTTCGCGTTTGACCTGGAGGATCTGTTGAGAGCATCTGCTGAGGTGCTCGGCAAGGGGACCTATGGCACAACATATAAGGCAAATCTAGAGGACGCTACCACTGTGGCGGTGAAGAGACTGAAAGAGGTCATCATCGGAAAACGCGAGTTTGAACAGCAGATGGAGGTTGTGGGAAGGATTAGGCACGACAATGTGGCAGCTCTAAGGGCATATTACTATTCCAAGGAGGAGAAACTTATGATCTATGATTACTATGAACACAGTAGCGTTTCTGCTATGTTGCACGGTATGTTTAACCTTTTCCCCTCTCTGGAAAACAACTGTTCGTTATATTTATCTCCATTCCCTCCATCTATTCTTCTTCCTGGGTCTATGAATTCAGTATTGCTTTTGTCGAAGATCGTATTTTAGTTTCTATGTTATCATACACGAAGAATCTAATTTGAATCAAAACAAAAGATCAGATTTTTCATTTTCATATGCAAGATGTGCTCAGCTGCTCATTCATTGAATGAGAAATTCAGACGACGCAATATCCCTCTGTTATTCCACAGTTTTTCAAACCTCTGTCATTGCATGCTGTTTAATTGAACGCATCATTATATAGGACTTAGATTGTCTCTGAATTTCAACAAGTATAATGATATTCAATCTCTGAATTTCAACAAGTACAATGATATTCGGATATCAATATGCAGGTAGAAGAGGGGAAGAAAGGATTTCTTTGGATTGGCATGGCAGACTGAGGATCGCAGTGGGTGCAGCAAGAGGAATAGCTCACGTCCATGCTCAACAAGGAGGAAAACTTGTCCATGGAAATATAAAAGCCTCGAACATCTTCCTCAACTCCGAAGGATACGGCTGTATTTCTGACATTGGTTTAGCAACACTGATGAGTCCAATAGTGCCACCGTCTCTAAGAAGTGCTGGCTACCGTGCTCCGGAAGTAACAGACCCCAGAAAAGCAAGCCACGCATCTGACGTCTACAGTTTTGGGGTGTTTCTGTTGGAGCTTTTGACTGGAAAAGGCCCCATGCACACCACAGGAAGTGAGGAGGCCGTCCACCTGGTTAGGTGGGTGAATTCTGTGGTCAGAGAGGAATGGACAGCAGAAGTGTTTGATGTCCAATTGCTGAGATTTCCAAATATAGAGGAAGAAATGGTTCAAATGTTACAACTTGCGATGGCATGTGTTGTTAGAGTTCCAGAGCAGAGACCAACAATGCCAGATGTTTTAAGAACGATGGAGGAAATTGGTCGACCAAATGCCGAGAATCGGCTATCTTCTGAATCCAGATCAGCAGCTTCCACCCCGACTCCACCAGCAATTGACATGCCTTCTTCCTCTGTGGATGCTTAGAATTAATTATTCCTCGATTTCGACTTTATTCTTTTACAGAAGATATTATGTGTTTTGCTGTCTTCTTGTATCCCTCTCCAGTTAAACAAATATGTGGTTGTAAGTAGTTCATCTGCCAACCTAAGTTTAGGTGATATCAAAGTCAAATTGGGTCCCTGCGTGGACAATGCGTTATATACTTTGGGAGTTTAATTATCATGGTTGTGGCGTTTGGGCTCCAAGATCAAAGCAAGGGTTAAACGTTTCGCATAAGTTGTTATCGTCGATTAAGATTTTATGCGTTATATGGTGATTTAACAGAAAAGATCACCTTTTCAAGTGATTTCCGCCAACTCCACTTGATTCGTTAAAGTGTTAAACTGCTCTATGTATATCTTGCAACACTATCTCTATAATTAATTCTAAATTAATAGTTGTAGCTTCTCTGTACATGAAAAGCAGCTATGGATAAACGTTAATAACTGTGGGGCATTGCCCCTGCCTAAAGAAATTTCTTTGTCTCACTATTACATGTATGATATGTATCAATCGCCTATAATACTTGACACTGTTATTTTTTATGGCATTTAACCTTTTTCCTCTATTCTACCTGTTCACTATAAACACCACATAGCTTTGTGTTATCTCTCCATTAATCATGTCTCCACTGTAGTATCAAGATGAGCCTAATTCTACCTCTACTTAAATGATTGATTGACTATTCACTCTTTTGACTATATTTATAAATTATTTTCAACATATTTCATGCAGATCAAGAAAAATTTTAAATATTATTAACTCTCATTTTAAATTTAATAACTTTTTAATTTTATCCATATTTAATATATATCATACCTTATTGAAATAAAGTCAATACAATATTAAATTAAAGGTAAAACTATATATTCATATAAATTTTTTGGGGAAATTGCAAAAAAAGACCTTGGAATTGTAAAAACGCAGATAGAGACCCTTGACAACTTCACTTTGGGTTTTGACAAGAATAATATGCCCTGAAGTTGTCAAAACCCAAAGTGAAGTTGTCAAGGGTCCCTATTTGCGTTTTGCAATTCCAATGTCTTTTTTTGCAATTTCCCAAATTTTTTTTTGCCTTATAAATAGGAGCACAGGAGAATATGAAAATCATATTAGATGATTAAAAACTAACCCAATCTTCCAAAATATTAACACCCAATAAAAAAGTTATTGTAATATATATATTCATCATCTTAATATTAGTATTTTATTAACTCCATTTATATTAGCATCTCTATATTACACATTTAATATCACTCATAATTTTTTTCCCAATAAGATCTTAAATTTTGGGATGCAAAAATTATATAGGACTACCTTAATTAGATTGAAAAATGCTAGAATCTAAATCGACGATAATGAGTACTATTAAAAAAATAAATAAGAACAAAAAAGTAATATTTTGATTTTAAATCTAGAATGTTTAATTTGATCTTCACATCAAAGATTTTGAGTTTTGCATGGAAGCAGAGCGCCAAAAACCGTTGACGGGAGGTAAAGCAGCGGACGGCGACAAAGGGCTCAAAATACAGTGGTTAAGACCGAGCCTAAACGCGGGAAATCACGAACTTGACTGATTCCCCGCGCATAGTGCGTGAACGATGGACGGACGGAGAGAACGACGTCGTCAAGGAGATGTATTCTGCAAATGCCGTTCCATTTTGGCGGCCGCTTGCGGACTGGGAGGAAAGTAAGGGTTATATTTCGTACATAAAACGCTTGGCTGAGGGAGGGACCCAGCTTACAGAATGAGAAAAAAGAAAAAATTAATAATACATAAATAATAGCAGGAGAAGAAGAAAGAAAGAAGGAAAGAAAGAAGCCACTTGCACTCCGGGGAAAAAAAAAAAAGAAAAAAGAAAAAAGAAAGAAGCCACCCAACCAGAGGAGGGGGCTGGATCGATCCCATACCCCAACCTACGCATTTCTATAAGAGATATTTGCCATTTCAAATCAATCGGTTTTCCGTTTCAACTCTATCTTTTTCTTCCGAATCGAGGACCTCTCACGTTTCTCTCTGGTATGATCTATTCCTGTGTTGGCCTTTTACTAGTTATTCCGATGCATGCACATATCTATGCGTACGCGTTGTGTTTTGGCTTTGATATGAGATGATCTGGCCTCCTCGTTAGGTTTCACCATGGCATCGAAGCGGATCTTGAAGGAACTCAAGGATTTGCAGAAGGATCCACCTACTTCTTGCAGCGCCGGTATCGCATTCCGTCTGTCCTTCGTTATCTTTCATACAATGTTTTTCCTTACTTGATTTTGCAGTGCCGTTATTACTTCTATTTTTTCTATAATTTTCGGTGCCTGTTTTGTTGTTCATGTTTTCTATTTAAATTTGGTGATCGTGCTTGTATCTTTTCCGGCTTGTCATATGTTCTTTAGTTTGTAGCATTCATGTTTGTTGATTGGATGTTATTTCTCTTCGATTTCTCGTTGTTATTCTTACTGTTCTTTCTGGAACATCTTGAATTGATACGTTGACTATTTTTTGGGGCATTGGTATGCGTGGATGACGTTTAAGATTGGTCGGGCTGCCTACAATTGTGGAGCCTTCTTCCATTAAGAAAGTTAGTGCTTGCTTGGTCCCGTTCAGTTGGGGGGTTATATCCTTATAGGTTCAGGAAAACAGGGCTAGATGTCATGTCTTGTGGTATCAATATGATGGTCTTAATATGCGATTCGGTATGTACTTATTTTAATTGAATCTCATCGTTAGGTCATAAGTGTCACCAAAATTAGCATCTCAACGAAAGAACGGTTTTGGCTTTGCCATGTTCACTTCTAGGCACCATGTTTATGGCGTCTTCATGAGTAGAAGGGGGATCCAACTACATTTGCTGCTATGTAATAGAATCTTTGAGGATTTTATGTCCTATTTGTCTTATTTGCCAAACAAACTACTAATGAAATGATTCTGGCCAATGTGCTAAAATCTAATTTGCCAATCTAGCTGTGCTAATATACCATTTGACGGGTTCTTATCTCCCATGCTTTGTCATTTGAGCAGGTCCTGTTGCTGAAGATATGTTTCATTGGCAAGCAACAATTATGGGTCCTCCTGACAGTCCTTATGCTGGAGGTGTTTTCCTAGTTACTATCCATTTTCCTCCAGATTACCCCTTTAAGCCACCCAAGGTTTGTAATTCATTCACGTTCTTTGCGGTGGCTGCTAATTATTTCATGTTACTATGGTGCTTTCGTTATCTGTATCCACTTATTTTCTAGTTTAGCATTCATGATGACATGATTTACTTTTCATTTTCACTTGTTTACTTTGTATTTTTCCTCTTCCTGGGAGATTTATCAATATCAAATGCTTTTTCTTTCTTTCCCATTTTAATTTTATCCCAATAATCAGTATGTAGTGCCCAGTGTCTACTCACTCAAAAAATGAGTAACATTTGATATTCTCATTTCACGCCTTTTTTTGGGAAGATTTAACAAGGTTTCTGTGTATATTTTTACATGTGATGTACACCATCATCAATCGCCATGTAACTTCTTCAATCTGTCTCTTATGCCTAATCATGTATGACGATGGATCATGCAGGTTGCGTTCAGGACTAAGGTATTCCACCCAAACATAAATAGCAATGGAAGCATTTGTCTTGACATATTGAAGGAACAATGGAGCCCTGCTTTAACTATATCAAAGGTTCGCATGTTTATTATTTCAGATAATGAGTAAATTCTTTGTTCCTTGGAAGTACATTACTTTTACTCTTCAGAGCAATCCTTATGGAAACTTGATCTGATGACATCGTCTAAAATAAGCAACACCTGAACAATCCATTACTCAGACGCCAAGTTCATTTTTCACAACAACAGCGGAAGGAATTGATTTGTCCAACATACTAGTCAACGCTTCTTTTTTTTTTTCCTTCTTTTTTTCTTTTTTTTCCCTATATTTGTATGCTGTGGCAGTCATGCATGATTGAGCTGCGTCAGCATGGCCATGTTTGATTAATTTTAAACAACTCAACTCATGCTTGGGGTCTATGACATGTATCTTCCGCAAACAGGCAGATATTTCATTTCTGTAGTTGAGGTTTTATAGCGTCCCAGATATAAAATTCCCTCATTCAGATTAAGTTGCCTAATTGCGACTAATCTTTATTTAATATTTTCATTTGTCTTGCATCGTTAGGTGTTACTATCTATTTGTTCCCTGTTGACGGACCCAAACCCTGATGATCCTTTGGTTCCTGAGATCGCCCACATGTACAAGACAGACAAGAACAAGTATGAGTCAACTGCAAGAAGTTGGACCCAGAAATATGCTATGGGCTAAGTGACCTTTGGCCTGTGTGAGGGAGAGCCCTTGTATTTCCAGCGTTCAGGCCTAACAAGCTGTGTACGAATATTTGTTGTCTTCAATATTGAATGGATTAAGGCCCTCCTGTTGAAGATGGATGCGGGAAAACGTTTCCTCTGTTGTTTGTATTGCAAATTATATTTTTAAAACAAGACAAAATGTGGCTCCATTAACTGTTTCTTACAACATATTACCATTTTGACTGTGCATAATAATTTTCTTTTTCGAATTTATGAACTTGAGCCCTGCATGAATCTGGTTTACTTTTTAAGGTTGGTTGGATTCTTATTCCTGGCTTTATGTGAGTTACTGCTTTTTTCCTGAGATTATTGGGTTCGTTTTGAGTTTATACTCTATGAATGGAAGAGGATAAAGTTGAGTCCTTCAGTTTGAGTATGACATCTCGCAGTTAATTTGGTTAGCTATTGCTGTAGCTAGCATGATTGCATGAGCAGATGGTGTTGGTTGAATCAGAGGCCTGTGTCGATTGAAAGTTGGACAAATGGAGGGAGAGAAGTAGATGATTGGCAGGGCACTGGTCATTCGATGTTTGCGAGGAGATCTGTACTGGGTTTGTTAATAATGCCACCCATATCTTGGGAGGATTCTTGAAAGTTTGGATACTTAGCGGGGTCGGTGGGCCTTACCCAGCCAAGTAATCAGCTACTTCATTCTGCTTCTTAACAGTCTCGAGAGCGACCCTGGCAAGAATAATAATACCTTGAGCCAGGAGTGGGCGATATTTTGACCAAAAAGCAGGTCTCTGGCTGTGGTTGAGCATTAGTTTGCAAATCAAATTCCTGCACATTCATACAGGAACTTGTAAACTGTTTTAAATAATGGATTGAAGCACGATGTCAGCAATCCTACCAATATGAGCATGTGAGAAGATTAGCTGCCCAGAAATACCAGCCCGTCCCCATGAGCACTGCTGCTTGTGCCACCAAGC